CCGTCCCCCCCCCACCCCGTCCCTCCCCCGCTCGCACTCTCTCTCTCTTAAAATAAAAAAAAGTTTAAAAAAAAGAAGCAACTTTTCTAAAGAACAAGGTGCTTTTCTAAAAAACAAGCCTTAAGAAGACAGGCGTCTTGAATTCCAACACGGGCTCTGCCAGAACTTGCTGTGTGACCTTGCACAAACCCATTCCCCTCTCTGGGCCTCAGCTTCTCATCATTAAGACTTGCTCCTCAAACTGAGAGGTGCAAGACCTCACCGTAAAGGTGGTGTGTTTTCCTACAGCTTTGTTATCATCAGGTAAATAACGCAAAACTTAACTTACACGTTAAAACAAACGCTGTGTTACAGAATAAAAGCAAAGTTAACGTGCATCTGAAATAAAGCCTTAGAGACTTCAAAGAAAGTTCTTCCCGGCACCAGACCCCTGAGATATAGGTCACTAAGGTGCATCCCGGAAGGAGAAAAGCTTGAGAAGCCCAGGCCCTGTCCAAGGGCCCCTTCCCGCTCTGCCAGCTGGCCTGCCCGCGCCCTGGCAGGGACCCCGCCGTGGACGGCGGCAGCCTCCGGGGCATCTGCTCACCAGCCTCTCCATCTCCTGCTCCCAGAGCCGTTCTTGGTGCTGCCGCCTGTGGTACTCCAGGAGGTCGTCCTCGTTGTCACTGATCTCCGTGATGCTATTTTTCCGCTCCCGAGTGACAGGGACCCGCAAGTCCCCACTGGACAGCTTCCTCTGGGCACGGGGGCTCTGGCGGGGCGAAGCCCCGGTCAGAGAGCCCAGACTATAGGCTGGGCTCAGCCTGCCACTGAAGCTGCCCTTGCGGGGTGCCAGTGACTCCCCGAGCGTGGGTGAGGGGCTCCGTGTCCTACGGCCCCGTGCCCCCAGCGTCAGGGAGAAGTCCTCCGGTGACGCCCCGTGGGCTGCCCAGCGCCGGGCCCGGGGACTCTCCGCCACTTCCCTGGTTAGCTTGGGATCTGGCGTAGTCCTGGTGGGCATGGGGGAGAGAGCCCGTCGCGACAGAGACGGGCTCAACGGAGGGAGTTCCCGCATGCTGTCCAGGCCCCGCCGGCCCAGGCGGGGACTCTCAGGAGGCTGCAGGGTGCGGGTGGCTGACCCATCTGAAAATGTTCGGCCTACCAGCTGGCGTGAGGGGCTGGTTGTCAGCACCCGCTCGGTGCCTGGCAGCTCACGGAAAGGGCTGGGAGGGCGGTCCTGGAGGGTGCCGATCTTGTTTCGGGGAGCAGGGACCGGAGGCTGCAACTTGGGGCTTCCAGGAATGCTCGTGGGCTGGCTTCGGGCACCGGAAGCTGGGTATTCACTCAGGTTGATGGCCACCACGGGCAGCTGCCCACCCAGCCGGGGGCTCTCGGCAGCTCTGCGGGCCTCCGCCAAGACAGTGGCCGCGGGGCTGTCCGTCAGCAGACCTCGGAGGCCGGGGCTGGGAGGCCTCTCGTGACCCCCTTTCCGGCCCAGCCGGGGGCTCTCGGAGGAGCGGGCGCCGCCCGGTCGGGGCTGTGGGGGCTGCAGGGCCAGGTGGTAGCTAGAGGAACGGGCAGGCACCAGCGGCGGCACGGAAGGTGCTGGCTCCTGCCCGCTGGGTGAGTGGCTGGCACAGCTCCCACTGCTGGCTGGTGAGGAGAGCGGAGAGAAGGCTGGAGAGGTGTTCTCGTAGCTGGAGCCCACAGACATGGCACCAGGGCTGGTTGGCGGGGACAGCAAGTAGCGCCCACCATTAGCCATTGGCGACAGTGGGGAAGTCGCGGCAGGCTTCTTGCCGGCCGCTCCGGGCTCCTCTAGCACCAGCGAATCCATGATCTCCTGCAGGTCCTTCTCAATAGAGCTCACCAGGGAACTGTGGCTGGCGCAGGCAGCGGGGCCCCGGGTCGCGGGCTGTGGCGCGTGGTTCCCATTCACCAGGCTTTCCGATTCTGCGGATGGGAAACGCAAAGGTGCCTCAGGCCCTGGCCTCCAACCACCGGGGAGCTGTACGTGCCCAAGAACGAGGGAGGCGATCTGCCAGCTCTACCACTGACCTGCTGCACGACCGTCAATCAGCTGCCCTCGGTTTCCCTGTCCGGAAAGGAAGGGCTCCTCTGGCTCTAACGCCTCATGACTTAGGACAGAGCTGTAACGACGCCAGGCACTTCTAGGCCCGGTTATCGCGGGCTCACCCCAAGACCGGGTTCCTCCCTGCCTTGGTTTCCCTCCCAGATCTCTCCTTCAGGAAGGGCAGATGGACATTCTCTGGAGGGGATGCTATGGAGCTGGCCAGAAGTTCGGGGTGGGGGGGTCCAGCCTAATAGGACATTAGGACCTCCCAGCACAGCAGCCGAGACCCAGGAAAAACCACAGGCAAAACCTCCAGCGCTGGGCAAGAGGTGTGTGCCGTACTACTCTGCCCAATCAGAGGCAGGGAGGGGCCTGGCACTGCTGGGTGGCTTCTGGAAGCCAGGCTGGCCAGCCACTAGGGGCAGCTCGGCGTCTCCGATCACGAGCCCATCAAGCCACGCCAGCAAGAGCCTGCCTTGGCCCTGCCCCAGGCCTCATCGACCAACCAGGAGTCCCAGGAACCAGTGCCCGGAACAGCTGAGGGAAGGTGTGGCATGACAAGGCTAAGGGAGAGCGGGTAAAGCTAGCCAGGGAGTGGGCTGGGAACCCGGGCTTCTGAGGGGCTCACCAGACACCCATGTCCACCTGTCCCAGTACCACACCGACACCTGCCATCCCACGGCCATCTGAACCCTCGTTGCAAAGCCTCGGACGGGAGGCTCACTGGCAGCCTCCTGGTCTACACCCCACCCCACCCCCTAGGCAGCTGGGTTGAGGGGGGTGCTGTGCTGGTTCCCTGGAACAATCACCGACTCTCCTCTGGGGATCAATAATTCACACACAAACTGCAGCTGTTCCGCTGAGTAATCGGCTGGCATGGCCTGGGGGGGAGGGGCAGGGCCCAAGGACCTAAGCACCGGCAGGTGGGACCCGCCAGCAGGGGCTCGACCTAATGCTTCCTTCTGCCCCCTCGGGCCCCTCTCAAGGGTGAGGTTCCCCAGCGGTTGGCACATGAGGTTTAGGGTCCCAGACACCGAAGTGGCACCTTCCAGGGCAGTGGGGCTGGCAGAGCCCTCCGTCCCTTGGGCACGATTCCCCAGTTCCAGCCAGGCGGCACTTCTCGGATCCCTCCCAGTAGCCAGACCGCCTGGCATTCTCCACCAATGGCCCATGGCAGGTGGCAGCAAGCCCAGATCATGGCCATTGTCCTGCCCTGACACTACGAGCATGGCTGGGATGGGCAAGGAGGAGGACTGTCCAGGAGAGCCACCAACCCGACCCCCCACCCCAAGTGGGCATCTACCTGAGCCAGGACTGTAGGGGGGCCCGGGGGCCCGGCCCCCTGCCGGAATCATACTCTTCATCCACTTGGCTTCAGCCGGGTGGTTAAAGCGGAGGAAGGTCGACTGACCCAGGCACAACATACAGCCTGCAGAGAAAACAAATGCTGAGAAGGGCAGAAAGGGCTAGGGTACGCCTCACCCCGCAGCACGAGCAGGCTCACCCCGGGCTCCAGACAGCCATCCCCACCTGCACTCACAGTGTCTACACGGACCACGCCTGACCTGACAAGCACCAGCAGGGCTCCACAGCACAGGGCAGAGTGGAAAGAGCTCTGGTTTGTGAGTCCCAAGCTCTGAATATCCTGGTCCTAACTCTTGTTACTGGTTGTGAGACCTTCAGGTGAAGATCCTTCACCGCTGAGTCCCGTTCTCTCATTAGAAAAGTGAGGACAATACCTCTGACCTTGCAGGGTTAACGGGACAATGTCTGTGAAAGTGTTCTGTGAAGGGAGAAGGTTCTTCAGAGAACATGGACGCTCACGTCCCCCTTCCCCAAACTGTACCAATGATCCATCTATCTGCCCCTTGGGTGGAAAAGTCAGCGTGAGAGGCATCAATTTCCAGGATCAAACAAAAAAAAGCTCTGAGAGAGGGGACAGGGAAAAACCATGCGTCAGTCAGATGCCCCTCCGCAGGAACCAGAATTTGCTTCCTGGCTCCAAATCCTTACCATGACGTGGCCGGGGGAGAGCCACCACCTTCCTTCTCTCCGACAAAGCACCCTCTGGCCTGATATCTTCCTGCTCCTTGGTCTTCCGTGGAATCTAGCCAAGCCTAGGGCCAGTGGGCCCTGCCTCAGCCAAGCACGTTCCCAGGCAGGAGACACAAGCCCAGTCCTGCCCAGTAAGGGTGACTACACGGAGAGGGGAGGGTATGTGGAAGCCAGAAACGTAGCCAGGGGCACCAAGAGTGTGCACGGCGGCAGGTGTGTGCAGAGGCTCCTGAGCCTGGCTAACAGGACTCCTCCTCCTCCCGGCCACACTGCAGGACTCCTGCAAAAGATGCTACGTTGGGAGAGCCCTGGTGCTCTCTCCAATCACCCTCCCGATCTGTCCACACCGCTGCGCCCAGCCTATCTACCCAATCTGGTGCCACTTGGCACCCCAAGCTTCATGCCAGTCTGCGCTGAGACTGGCAGGGAAGTCTACATTCCTGGACGCTGAGACAGTTCAGTTCAGGCAAGCCACAAGGGCAAGGGGCATCCAGGCCACGTGGATACCATGGCAGACCTCCCACTGAGCAGCTCGGGAGCCTGTTGCTGGGACCCTAGGCATTGCCGAGGCAGGCGGCGAAGGGGCCAGTAGGCTGAGAAGCCCACCACAGGTAACCATAGTGGACAAAGCCACCCACTTCTCTGGCACACCCAGAGGCCCTCCCAAACAGGCAGGCACCAATGATTCCAAAGACTGACGGGTGGTTAGGAGAGAGGGGAGCCTTCCCAGACAAGCCGCCAATCAGGCATGCTGATCCCGGAGTAATCATAACCGGAATAAATAATAGCCAACCACACTTCCACCTAATTACAACCACAGCTGTTTCAGAAAGAGCCCTGCTGGCCCCTCCCGCTCCTCTCAGCCCTTTAACAAGCTAATTAATGATGAGTTCGCAGGGTCTAGACAGACCCACTCAATCCTAGATTGATGGGGGTGGGGTGGGGTGGGGTGGGGGAGGATCTGGAGGCCGATTGCACAGCCCAGTCTGGGACGGAGGTGGGGAGTCTGAGTGGATTCCGGCCCATCAGAGCCAGGCCCACCCAAGAAGGCTGTGGGCACCCAGGGACCCTCAGCCCTGGCTCCTGTGGCTGAGTTCCCTGCCCCCTCCTCTGCCCCTCAGCCTCCTCCGCGCAGGGGGTGTGGCCTTGCTGCCTCTGGGCTATAAATAGGTGATGCCAGGCAGGAGAGCTGGATCTGTATTAATAGAGCAGGCAGAAGGGCAGCAAGGACTGAGAACAGCCCAGCTCCTGCCCAAATTAACTTTCTATTTGCACTCAGGGGCCCCAGGCATTGCCCCAACGGGGGTCCCTACTGCCCCCAGGAGCCTGGAGAGCCTATTTCTGGGAAGAAACCTCCTCTCTGTCCGCTCCTGCCCCGCACCTCCAAAGGTCAGCCCAGGCAGAAGACCTTTGGAGGTCTTCTCATCCAGGCAAAGTTGCGGTCCGGCCAGGACCCAGTGGGGCCCAGGCCCAGCTGTGTGTGTGCAGGTGGGTGGGGAAGCTGCACATCTGGAGGGAAAACAAGGCAAAGAAGAGGGCGGATCCTACCTCTGAGAGACACCGAGGGGATGCACCACACACACTCTCTCCTACAAGCTCCCACACAGACACACTCCCAGAAACGCACACACAGGCATACGTGCTCACACACTCCCAGGGCCACAGTCACTGCTCAGCTGGCCACACCAATAGAACGGACCGGCCAAAGGGAGGCTGGGGTGAGGGGAAGACGGGAGGAAGGGCCCC